ACACCGGCCCTCCAGGACCGAGTTTGGACAGCCCTGGTTTAGATGTTCCTCAGAAATGTATTTATAAGTTAGGGGGCGATGTTGTCCCAACTTTGAACCTCTTTGTACAGTCCTGAATCTGTTTTCAGTTAATCATTATGATGACAAACTACAGGGGATTTTGTGCATTGCTGGCTTGAAATGAGCCATGGTAATGTTATGGGATGTTGTTTAATATTTCAATACAAATCACTGCAGTGCAACTTTTGGTGGGGGCAGGAATTTGTAATGGTCATCCGTATGATTGTGTTTTAAGAGTAATTAGCAACAAAGATATCAATAAAGATTAATTAAACCTATAAAACTTTGGTTTGACTCCAGTGACTCATAACAATGTCCTGAAGTAACCTCTGCCTAAAGTGATGCCTTCTTGGGAGGCATCTGGAATGATGTCACTAACTTAGATCAGGTCGTGCTGGAGTGGCCAATCACGTCCAAGCTGAAGGTTTTGGAGGTGGAGTCAGACAGATTTTCATTCCTAGAAAAGCCTGGAGGCCATACAACTTTCATTATATATCATGATGTTGAAATGTACCAAGAAATTGTTCATAAATTTATGCTCCCTACAATCCTGACTGAACTATTATCCAAGAACTGCTGGTTGCCTTTGGTCCTAATGATACTGTCCATTGTTTCAGGTCTGAATGATGTTCGGCTGTTTGAATTGGCATGTTCTACTCTGAAAATGCGCTGATATATAGACCAAGCCATTTGGAGCAGAACCTGAGCAAGGCTGGAAATTCAATTACTGTACCACACACCCATGAGAAATTTTGTTCTCCCCTGCAGATAGCTATACAATGAGATTTCTGGAAGTTTCCCAAAAGAAAAAAACATCCTCTTTAAAGCCTGGAAGAGCATGAATGTGGGGGACCTGTTTTGCTCAGAACATGTCTTTGGCGTTTCTCATGTTTCCCTGAGCAAAACTCATTTAAAATTCCCATTATTCTTTAGGAACTGAATTCAGATTGTGGTCCTCCTTCAAAACAAGTCTGTATATGCCTAGTTAGTGTAGTTCAGGTATGTGAAACCAAAAACATTCCTCTCTGAATAGATTTCAAGCACCTAGTCAGCTAAGAAGACATGGTAGCCACACTTTTGAGCGCTTCCAAGATTTATCTGCTGATTTATATTTTATCTAGAGGACATTTTACAGGTAAGATATGCCTTAATGCTTTGTCTTGCATGTGGTAGGTAATGAAAGGACATTTGTCTGGATTATTCAAGTTTTTTGGCCCCTTCCATTGACCCGCTTGCCCCAACTTGCCTGCAGCAAAACCAGATGTTCTTCCTTACTCAGATAAGAGAAA